ATTCTTCTTTACTTTGAAAAGCCTTTCAAATAAGCAGCAATTATTTTTTACTTCATAGGCACTTTAATCCCTGGATGAACTCTAGATCTGTTTGGTTGTTAGGTGCGTAAATATTGCATAACAAAGTTTTCACGCCTTTTAAATGCATGGTGAGTAAAACAATTCTCCCTGTATTGTTACTAAAGTATTCCACATTGTTGTTTATGGCTGGATCTAATAAGATGCAAAACCCATGCTATGGTGTGTCCCATGAGAAAAAGAATTTTACCCCCCATTCACTTTGCCACATTGATTCATCATTTGAATACGTCTCTTTGAGAAAATTAGACCACAAGTAGTCCCTCTTTCGCTTAGTCTGTCATGTGTGATGCGAAAGAAAACTGCGAGAAAAAAATGGCCGAGCACTCCTGGGGGTGAGGAGCGCGCGAAAGGAGGGACTACCGCCTAAGCCCAAGAGTTTGCCCTTTCACGGCCGAGTGATTTTTCAGTGTAGAATTTCTCATCTTGACATCCTCTTATTATTGCCTGTTGTCAATAAGCCCGGGAGATATCCTGATTAAAATTGCTCTACTCTACTCTTCAAGTAGCCAGGCAAAGACATATGCCGTGAGAAGTATATCTTCGTTCAGTGTTTGTTCAGCGAAACTGCCAAAGAAGTTTTAAAAAGAAGACGGCAAATGAGGCATCTTTTAATGATTTCGCTGCGTCTGTAGGTGTAAATCTAAAAGTTATTGCAAAAATTTCAAATGCAGAGTTTCAACCGAGAATTTACATTATGTACTTGACATAGGAGACCAACCAACTGCAGTGAAATGTTTGCCAATAGCAGCAGAAAGTTTCAGCTGATTTCAAGTGAAAGTCCAGTTCAATCCTTCAAATGGACGGCAGAAAGGCTAAGCTCAGTGAATTTACATTTGCTGACTTGGACGATGCTGTTGAATGGCGAAATCACTAACACGCTCGCAGTCGGGTTGGAGGCGGAAAGCTTTGCCAGACAAAACACTGGATAAATTTAAATCTTTCCAAAGCCTGTTGGCAGATTCGCAAGAACACTTTGGCTTGCGAAGCGCGATTCCAACGCTTCGATTTGCTCTGGTACCACTTTGATTTGCTCCGGTTGTAAAACATTCCTGTAAGACGTCACATGTATCTTGAATGTTGACAACACGTTGTCAACACTCCTAACATACGCCAATTATATTTTTGTGTTGTGAGAGCAACGCATAATTCAAACTCTTGGGCTTAGGCGGTAGTCCCTCCTTTTGCGTGCTCCTCGCCCCCAGTATTTCGTGCGGCCATTTTTTTCTCGCGGTTTTCTTTCGCGTCACGCACAACATACTAAGCGAAAGAGGGACTACTTGTAGTCTAGGAGAAAATAGAAATTCGTTTTCTGATCTTTCAGATAAGTAAAGTTGCTCCTTGTTTTGGTCTGGTCTCTTATACCTCTAACAATTAACAAAATAATTTTGTGTTTTATACTGGATTGCATTGTACACAGTCTTCCTAAGCTAACAAAAATTAATAATCAATGCACAAAAAGAAGCTAAACCTCCCTGATAATAATAACCAAAAAGAAAATGGCAACACACACACAAACAAAAAAGAAAAACCTTTAAGAGGTTGTTTGACCTTCGCCCTTGTCCATTTCAAACCTTCCCTCATGTTAAGGGCCCATTAACCAATTCATGCGCGCATTGCTAAGGAGGTGAAATTTCACTTCCAGTTACTTACGTCAGCCTGAGCGTGGAAAATAATAACAACTCAAAAGCTTGCAAATTTGCTTACATTTTAGATGTTTTTCTTTGTGTTTCACAAAATGCAAAGTAAAAAAAGTACAAGCAAAGACAAAATAAGAGAAAGACAGAAAAACAAGAGAAATAGAAAGAGAAAAACTAACCCCGCGTTACTTTGTTTGATCTACCGAAGTGCCCTGGTAGTGTAAATTGCGCATGTGCTGATAGGGTAACTTCCAGTAGATATCGGGGGCACTTCCGGTTTCTTTAAATGCTAAAGGAAACACGGTTTTTCATTAAGTCGAGCCTTTTTTGATGAATTTCGATTAAAGCCAACTTTGGAAACATAGCTATGCATTCCTTTTTCGAAATCATGCTTTTTTCAGAAAATTAAGAATTTTTCAATATTTTGAAATGCTCTCAAAATCTGACCTCATAGAAATGAAACAAAATCGATGCATAGCGTAATGAGGATTTAAATTAAAATATTAAATCAATGAAAAAAATCCCGATAAAGTAATTTGCCTGGGAGCCT